TTCACAATTGATGTTGACCGCGGAACCTTGCGAAATGTGTGATGACCAAATCACACCAAGTGCGGTTATGAATAGAGAACAATGTTGAGCAGCTTTTTTATTGACTATCACATCACACGAATTGCCTACGGGGGCTAGCAAATGACAAGCTGAAAGTCGTTTTTGGTAAGGAAAGCGAAGGTAAAATCGTTCTCGCGGGGTCTGAGGAGGACCTGGAAATAATTTCATACGAAAGAAAGAAAACGAAAGAAGGTCGATAAAAAAGTAATAAATAGTAATAATCTTATTCATAAAGCTGAATGTCTGTTCGTCTGTCTGTCTGTCTGTATATGTATGTATGTATGTACGTATGTTCCGAATAGAAAATTCCATTTCTGAACCGATTGGGACCAAACTTTGCACACATACACTTCGGTGCCAGCGGGTGCCATAGGCCGCTGGCACTGGCCTTCGTCATAGATCGATATCGATCACTACGTAATATATAACGAATTCGTTGTTTACCCATTAAGCCGCCGGGTCGTTGGAACAGGCAAACGAGGAGGCCGCAGACGGAGAAATTATGATGAAATACACTGATCTTTGGATTTGGATTGCTGCCAAGTGGCATGCGTTTTGGAACGCTGCCAAATTTCATAACGAGTGACCAAGCATATTTTCGTAAAAGGGTCGCGCGTATTTCGAAAGGCAATCATGAGTGTCGCAATGAATTTGAGACTGGGTCGGCAGTGTCCGGGTGTATTATTTGTATATACCTGCTTTTTTTGAGCTTGTTATCCCAGAATGTGTCTTCCAGATATGTTGTACTCCTATCAGTTGCTTTTGAAATGATGCCAAATGGCATGTCTTGAGCTGAATTCAGCTATGTTCTCAACTCTTGGTAAAATTGCTCTAACCAAGAACAGTCACTTTAGGATCGTCTTGCTTCCGCGCGTAGACAAGAGGGTGCGTGAGTAACTTGTCGCTGGTACTTTTGGAAGCGTTTATCTAACAATAGCCTTGCTTTTGCTTGTGTAACTGAGTCCCGCTGGTGCTTTCAACTAGGTAAAGGGGTGTAAGCGGGACATGGGGCAATTCCATCGGGCAGGGAAGCAGATTTTTCTATGTTTGGGGCAGTTCTCAAAAAGAAAGCCAAAGTGGCATGTACGGCAATTTACTTATTTTATTTATTTTGATTACTTGATTTCGTTGTTTTCTTTCTGTAGAGTCGTAAGGTCGGTTTTTCTCACATATACGGTATTCAAGCGACACATAGGGCATAGTTTTTCTTTTTGAATAGTTACTATCGGTCTGTAAGCGACACGTAGGGCAACTCGATTGTCTTTCAGATAGATAGTATTGGTTTGTAAGCGGCACGTAGGGCAATTTGATCGAGCAGGGAAACAGATTTTTGTGGGTTTGGGGCAGTTCTTTTGATTTTTAAACGGTCTTCGAGCGGCTTTGGGCATGAACTATCTTTCAAATAGATGATATTGGTTTGTAAACGGCACGTAGGGCAACTTGATGGGGCAGGGAAACAGATTTTTGGGGGTTTGGGGCAGTTCTTTTGATTTTAAACGGTCTTCGAGCGGCTTTGGGCATGAACTATCTTTCAAATAGGTGATATTGGTTTGTAAGCGGCACGTCGGGCAACTCGATCGGGCAGGGAAACGGATTTTTGTGGGTTTGGGGCAATTCTTTTGATTTTCAAACGGTCTTCGAGCGGCTTGGGGCATGAACTATCTTTCAGATAGATAGTATTGGTTTGTAAGCGGCACGTAGGGCAATTTGATCGGACGGGGAAACAAATTTTTTGTTCACGTTTGTGCAGTTCTTATGATTGACGGTCTTTAAGTGGCTCAGTAGGGGGTTCTCTTTTTGTAGTAAAGCTTCATGTTCCTTAAGCGAAAAAATTGAAGGTTTTTCTGACAAAGTTCTTAGATGATTGATTTCATTGCTGTCGGAATTGATTTTGAGAGAAAAGTGTTTTTTGTAGTACACATAGTTTTAGGGTTACATTTCTACTTCCAAAACGATAGGTGTTCTGCTACTTATTAAACGATCTTTTGTGAATCTTGTTAAGAAGAACTGGAAGAGCAAATTCTCTTTGAGAGGGTAGAAAAGTGGGGGGAGGGTTAATCTGTATGTCTTTGAGAGGAGGGGAAATTTGCAGAAAGAACGTGGTAAACGAGTGAAAAATAACCTTCTCCATGCATAGTTTAGCAGGAATCTCGAGTAATGAAATGATTTGTGAAGATTATCGCTTCTTCAAGCAGTTCTCCTTTTGTAGTATGCTCTTCGCAAAAATGTTCCCAGGAAAGGAATAGGAAAATTATTTAAAAATATTTATAGCCACAACGAAGCCCTTGTATTGTATCTGCCTCGACCCACTTGCTAGCGACCCGTAGGGTCGCTAGTTTTATCAATTTTATCAATTATTTTTGCAAAGTTTGAGCTGAAGGACTGGGAGCTGCCACAGGGGGGGGGGGTAAGTGAGCATGGCGATTCCGAATACAAAATTAGTTTTCAGAATTATCGATTACTTTTACCAATTTTATCAATTTTTTTGCAAAGTTTGAGCTGAAGGACTGGGAGTTGGCACAGGGGGGGGGGGGTAAGGGGGCATGTTGATCTCGAAAACAACGCAGGAAACGAAAAATGAAGTGTAGAAGTGGGAACAGGGAAAGGCTGTACAGGGATAGGGATGGGACCTTTATTACAGTGTTTTGACAGGGCCGAGCGGAGCCGGGTAAGCAAGCTAGTCTTAAATTTAAAGCTGAAAGTGTGTGTGTGCCTGTGTGTACGTATGTGCGGAATAGAAATTTTTATTTCTGAACCGTTTTGGACCCAACTTGGCACACATATACTTCGGGGCAGGGAGCCTGTCGTAGGCTACTTTTCGTTACCGATCGATATCGATTTTATCGATTTTTTTGCAAAGTTCAAGCTACAGGGAAGTTAGCACAGGGGTGTAAGTGAGCATGCTGATTACGAATACAGTATTGGTTTCTAAAATTATCCATTACTTCTATGGATTTTATCGATTTTTTGCAAAGTTCAAGCTACAGGGAATTAGCACAGGGGTGTAAGTGAGCATGCTGATTACGAATACAATATTGGTTTCTAAAATTATCCATTACTTCTATAGATTTTATCGGTTTTTTTGCAAAGTTCAAGCTACAAGGCTGGGAGTTAGCACACGAGGGGGGGGGGGGGGGTAAGTGAGCATGCTGATTACAAATACAATATTGGTTTTTGGAATTATCCACTACTTTCATACGAATGAGAGGTGAACTAAGCACTTTTTCCAGAAAATTTCTCATAACTGGTGAGTGAAAAAGTAAATTCAAATGCTTTATTGCAAAGCACAGTTGACAATGTGGTACATAACTCTGTATCTACATGGACCTGGCCTGCAGGAGCTAACTGAGAGGTTTTATGGAAAAATTATGTGACTGAAGGTTGTGGCAAGTCTTTTTCTGAAAACTTCTTCTCACCAAAAAATGGAAAAATGGTTCGTTTAAGCGCAAAAACGACGATATGGCACGTTTGGTCTGTATATACGCAGTGGAACAAAGGAACACAGTATGAAAAATTATGAAAAACTTATGTGAATAAAAGGCATGCCCAATTTTTTTTCCAAATTAAGTGGGCAATTGCTCACCCAATGCCCACCTGAGGTAGGTAAAATTTCCCTCCCATAAGTTTTTCAGAAATTCTACATAAATATGTCCTACACCTAAAGTTTACTATACAGTGCTGGTCAAAACTACAACCTGAAAACTGAACGTGGACTAAAGAGACTGTTTTGACTTTTGACTTTGTTTATGCACAAAAGACTTTGGAAGCTGAAAATTACTCCAGTGGACAGAAACTTTAGGTGGATCTATAGTTTTGGCCAGTTTTCAACCCTGCTTTTGTCAAAATTCTCAATTTTCTCCTAAATAATCAAACGAAAGTGGGATTCTGGTTACAGATGATAGCCTGTTGAACACACGGCTGTACCACATCTCGACTCAATTCACTGAGAAGCAGATGAGCTACAGAAGTTTTCAGGGTGGATCATAGTTTTGGCCAGCACTGTACGGTAAGTTATTGGTTTCAAAACTCCTCTTCTCCTCCTTGCTAGAGACTAAAATAGCATCAGCAGCATTCTCTATTGAAGAGGAAAGTGCGAGTTCATCGATTTCGTACAGTACCGAAAGCAGTCGTAAACTAATTTCGCGCGTGCGCACGTGGTTGCACACACTACAATCAAAATAATTTTTGTCATGCCTAAACAAGCGAGATTTCGCCATTCTTATTCTGCTACTCAATTCGTCCTTCTTCTTCATCTTCGCGAATTTAGGTGAGTTGTTGAAGTTTTTTCTCGCCCTCTGACTCGTTTTTCCACCTCTTTCTTTCCATTTGCGCAAATTACTAATTTGATTACTTTAACGTCTTTTTTCTCTTTTTTCAAAAGTATTTTTTGTTTTGCGAAAGAAAATAGATTTTGTAAGTATTCATTGACTGTGATTGATTCATGCTTCGTTGCTGTGTGTTGTCACATTCTTGTAGAGGTGTGACAACTCATTCTGTGGGGTGTAGTTTTTCTCATTGTTCATTCAGACATTGGATTGCATATTTACAATAGTTTTTCATAATATAGATCCTTCAATCGTTAAAAATAGTGCCGTCTTTTGGACATTTTCTTGCTATGCATCCTGTGTCCTCACATGCTGAACGTTGTATTTAGCATACGTCCACTTCGCCTCCAGGTCAGTTCTGATTTACACAGCGCAAGTGTCGGCTTCGTTATAGTTGGGGTAGGTAACCAGTGGTCTAGCTTTGCTTCATCTTCTTTTCGCAGATGCGCTGTGCAAGCCCTGTTATCTGTTCCCCTTGTTTGCCTCGGTCTAGGCCTGTCGTCAACCTATTGAAGGCTTCCATGCAGCGAAGAGCTTCGCTAAGCTTTTCAAGCGCATACCTGTCGGGTTGCGAAGGCTGCTTAACATCCATGTGCGTCTCACCCATACTCTGGATTAGTTTTTCTCTTTTATATGAATGTTAACAATTATGCGTAAGATCAAGTCTCCATAGGGGTCACGATTGTCAGTGGATCGCCTTCTAAGCTGGTCTGATTCAGGCTCGTCTTCTTCATCATTATCTACAGTAACCCCGTTCTTCTTCATTCTTCTCTGTATACTCTCTTCGAAGACGATGTACGTATAGTTGTTTTTCTGCGTCGCTTCCACCAGTTCTTCACTGACTTCAAACATTCGTCGACCTGAGAATCAAGAGTTTACTTCAATAAAAAGGCTTGCAGCCGTCATTGTTCAAAATTACCATCGGAAGTGAGTATCAAAGCAGCATGTACATGCATACAACTGATGTCGCTGTGTCCATCGCACAGTTACAAGCTAATGCATATGTAAAGGCTTCGCATCCTCTTCTACAATGGTTATTTCGCTGATATAGATAGATTAGGGATAGTTGACAGGGTAAATCAGATGTATTGATGTATTTATTAATGCAGGGGCAGTAGTGCATTTGGTTCTCCGAAAGCTTATCGTTTTCTTTGATTTCCCACTGTCTTGGCCTTGGCTCTTTGTCAACAACGCATTCCCGCTTGTTGCTCTACTTATCCAGAGCAGCTTTATGGCTCTTGTGATGCTGCTGCAGTCTGTGCCTTTCTTCTTCGACACTTCTTTTTCTTATGTAAACATGGTTGAGATGGTGAACAAATGAAGAATATAAAATTCATGCTACCATAACTTCCCTCTTTTCTTCAGCTCCAGCTGTCAATCCAATAAGTGACCGTATAAGGCTATCCATACATACATTTGCCTTCCTTTCTAATATATCGTGTTTCAGGTTCTTGCTTCAGTTTTGACCGGTAGGATTTCTCGCTTGCACTCCGCGGTCGATTCTAGACTCCGTTCCAAGAATAACGCGATTTTTGCCTGGAAAGTCCTCGTCGCTCAATCAGCAGCCGTGATTATTGTCGCTCCCAGATTGCCGCGGGGGCGCCGCAATGGTCAACGTAATCAATCACTTTCTCAAAACTGGACAATTACGCTGCTGATAAGCTCGCATCCGCCTCGCGGAAACCTCTTAGATAATATCTGAGTGAATGCGCGTGTAATGGCCATTCACCATCTTCGCAATTACGGACCTGTAACAACTTCCTATCATCAAAACACACTTCAAATTTCCAACCATTTTTGGTTTTGTTTGACTCTTGCAACCAACTGCTTTATTCAATACATAGAAAAAGTGTCATGCTTGCTTTTTGGGCACTTTCGCGCGCATTATAAGGTCTACAACTTGATTTGAAGGGCAGAGGATTTGAAAGGTCGTTTATTGTGCTGCAATAGTTCAAAAAGTGGTGAATCGCTTTCGAAAGATGCATGATCTTGTTTGTCATCTTGATTAGAACTATGCAGATTAGATGCTAATATGCCTTTATGGTTTACAAATTTTTGCTTATCGTAGGAATCATAGTGTTCGTCGACAACATAATTGCAAATCAAAGTTTTTGGCAATAAAGAATCACGAGTAAAGGCTTCCAGCATACCTAAAGTAAAAAAGGCTTTGCGATTTTTGAGCCTCTGAAGCTGTTCATTCTAGACTCCGTTAGAACGTCTCCGTCAGACTCCGTCAGACTAGACTGTTCATCCACATTCTTAACCTGTTTCAACGCTGGCAAAACAGCGTTTTTGCATTTATTCGTTTTAAGTTGCTGAAGCACCTCCGCTGCAAGGCAAATTTCAGAGTTCTTGGCTGCCCGCTTTCAGATCGGAGAGACTTCGATGTTTGAAAACCTATGTAAACTGGAGTATGTTTGATGATTAAGGCTTTCTAGCAGCTGCCGCATTTTTGCGAGACCATGTCATGAAGCCGTTTAACCTAGATTAGGAAGGGTCCCCCCACAATGGTCGGTCGCCTCATCGTGGCGTGGGGGTGACACTGGGTGTCGAACTGCGATGCACAGCCGAGTGTATACTCTGGCAGGGCCTCCCAAGCTGTGAAGGAGTTCGACGTTTCCGGTTTCGGCCGGATGCCTAGCTAAGAACTGGCCGCGCCAGATTCTCCGCCGTCTGGCTTCTTCTGGTCGCTAGGCGGTCCCTCCCCGCTCCAAGCCCGGGGTCAGCGATCACCCCGTGGAAATCAAGAGTAGGCCTAGTAAGCCACCTCTTGTAGGGGAACAAATTTTATTACTCAGACAGCAAGAAGATTTAGAAAAAACCCTGTACATCGGATCCCGCCTACGGCGCCGGGTGGTAGCAAGAACGATGTCAGGGTACTCAAGGCGCCTTTCGGATTGGACAAAAACGACACGTCTGCTCGGACGACACGCCATGGAGACTGCCTCATGCTCTGCACTTACAACGCCAGGACAGTCTCCACAAACGCCGACCTCCACGCTCTTCTCGACGCTGCAGAGCACATCAACTACCACATCATTGCTCTGCAGGAAACGAAGTCCAGGAAGAAGGACGTGTGACAGATGAGTGATGGGACCCTCATCATTCGTGGTGAAAAGGTTCCATCACGAAACGTGGGAGGCGTCGGCTTTGTCGTCCACCCATCTATCGTCCATCTTGTCGATTCGCACGAGATCCTATCACCTCGACTAGGCATCCTACGACTACGACCTCCACATCAGAAGACCATCAGCATCATCAACTGCTATTCTCCAACATCAGCAGCTGACGAATCAGAACTAGATGCTTTCTACGAAGATGTGGAGGAGGTCGTCCGCAACGAGAAGTCCTTTTACAAGTTTGTTGTGGGCGACTTCAACGCGAAAATCGGGATGCCACTGGAAAGGGAATATAGGATCGGGAAGTTTGGATATGGGCTCCGGAACGAAAACGGCAACCGTCTTGTTGGGCTTCTCTCCGCCGCACGACTTTTCCATGGAAATTCCATCTTTATGAAGAAGGAACATCGCCGGTGGACATGGGAATCGCCCAACGGAACGACCCACGCGGAGATCGACCACATTCTCACCAACCGAAGGTGGAGCTTACTCGATGTCTCTGTAGTTCCATCCTTCTGTAGTGGCTCCGATCACCGCCTCCTTCGAGCGAAGATACGACTCAGCCGAAGGCTGGAAAAGAAAGTCTGTCATAGTGCCGCGAGAAGGAAGGAAGTCGTTTATGACGGTAACAGGCTGGAAGAGCTCATATCAAGTTGTGACTGGCCCATCGAGGAGGACCCAATGTACGACTACGACCGGCTTCTGAAAGGATTGCGAGCCTGCGGAGAATGCGCCTCAGTGACTTCTGAGAAGAACTTGGACCGCATCTCGAAGACCACCAAGGAATTGCTCGAAAGAAGAAGATCATTGAGGCAGGATCCGAATGCAACTCATCTCGAGCGACTGATTGCCAACACCAGTTGCAGAACAGCTTTGCAAGAGGATCTCAGGAAGTACAGGCAAGCCAAGATACTGGAAGCAGCGGAAAGAAGACGAAGTCTCAAGAAGTGCCGAAGGGACCTCTGCGAATATCACGTACCGCTGGCTGCACTACTGAACGAAGACGGGACTCCGACTTCTTCCCGATACAAGATGGAATCTATCGCGAAGAACTTCTACACCAACCTCTTCCGCTCATCAACACCTGTGCAGATGCCCGTTGTTCCCACTGGAGAAGTACCACCACGAATTCTACCTGCTGAAGTGCGTATCGCGATACAGACCATGAAGACGTCCACGGCTCCAGGACCAGATCATCTTTCCGTCGAACTTCTGCGAGCCGGAGGACACCGTCTACACGAGATTCTAGCGTCGCATTTGACATCTTACCTTCAGAAGGAGAAGATTCCCGACCAGTGGAGAACGTCAAGAACCGTCCTTCTCTTCAAGAAGGGTGAACGGGAGGATCTTCGGAACTATCGTCCAATATGCTTGCTGAGTGTGCTGTACAAGCTTTTCACGAAGATTATCCTCGCTCGCATATCAAGGACACTGGATGAAGCCCAACCCCAAGAACAAGCTGGATTTCGCAAAGGATTCAGCTGCATGGACCACATCCAGACCGTTTCGAGGGTCATAGAAGTCTGCCGGGAGTACCGACTGCCTCTCGTCCTAACCTTTATCGACTACGAGAAAGCCTTCGACAGCGTCGAAACCAACGCCATCCTGTCTGCGCTAGTCGATCAAGGAGTGGACCCAGCTTACGTGAGGACGTTAGCCGACTGCTACAAGGACTGTACAACGACGATGCAGCTATTCCATCGCCCCCTGACCATACCAATCGGGAAGGGGGTCCGACAAGGCGACACAATCTCGCCGAAGCTGTTCACCGCGGCCTTGCAGTGGGTGATGAAGTCACTGGACTGGGACGAGAGAGGCATACGAGTTGATGGGAGATTCCTGTCCAACCTTCGTTTTGCGGACGACATCGTTCTCTTCTCGAGCAGTATCACCGAAGCAGAGACGATGCTGAAGGAACTAAACGAAGTAGGGAAGAAGATCGGACTGCGAATAAATCGGAAGAAGACTCAGTTCATGAAGAACGCCCTTTGCGAAGATGCAGAAATGGAATTGGAAGGCACCCCGATTATGGAGACGTCTTCCTACGTGTATCTCGGACGTTCGATGAACATGGAGAACGACTTGAGGGAAGAACTCAACAGGAGAAGAAGAGCAGCCTGGGCCGCCTTCGGGCCCCTGAAGGAAGCCACCGACCAACTGACGGACCCGGAGCTTCGTGCCCACCTGTTCGACTCAACCGTTCTCCCGGCGCTCTGTTACGCAGCTGAGACTTGGGCCGACACTGTAGCCACGTCGAAAGCTCTACGGACCACCCACAGAGCGCTCGAGCGCAGTCTTCTGAAGATGACCCGACGCAAGCAACATCTAGTCGGACTTCGCAGCACGGATATGAGAAGAATGTCCCGTCTTCGTGACCCAGCGGAATACGTCGCGAAAGCCAAACACCGATGGGCCGGTCACATAATGAGAAGAACAGACGACAGATGGACACTAAGAACATCGGAGTGGATTCCTCGCGAAGCCAAACGTCCCCGAGGAAGACCTCCAACGAGATGGGCAGACGTGTTCGTGGAACGGATGGACCAGCTGAGAAATCAGCTGGATACGATTTTTGCACCTGGAACTCGTGGACGCAGCCACCGACGTCAGCCAAGAAGATCGTGGATGTCAGAAGCGAGGGACAGGGAAAAATGGAAACTTCTGAGCTGGGGCCCGCACGTCACGTGAAGCCGGGCCATCTAAGTATCTAAGTATCTAAGTACTAAGTAAGTAAGTAAGGAAGGGTCAGGAAGTGTGTTTACTGACTTTGATGGATACTGACAAGCTTAACCCAGATTCAGTAGTACATTTGAAACTGAAATCCGGAAACGAAAATT